GGAGAAACAATTTAAAGTCCTGGGAGATGAGACCAAGTGTTCAAGAAATATAGTGGCATTGCAGACTGAAAATTCCTGCCACGAGGAAACAGTTTGTTAAGGCGGCGCCAGCCTTTCGCCGTATCCTCTTCATTAAGGGATGACAGAAAAGAGTCTCACATGTCTATAGAGCGTAGGTCTTTGAGCCCAAACTGTGCACGCTGAACTTAACATGCACAAACAAATAAGTATTGATTGAATAGCCAAGAATCTGAATCGCAAATTAAATCAAGGGATAGATTTAGATATAAAATAATTTGTATAAAATAATTACTGAAAAGTAGGATTTCTGTTTTCAAAGCCTCTGATGCGATTCTTAGTCCCAAATAGTTCATGACAGTCGCACTGGAATTTTTGCAACAAAGGAGGATCTGCGCAGCACTGGGAATGTTGGATAAGTTGATAATGTGGCCACTTTGATCACTTTAATGAAGTGGCTCCCATTATTAGCTATCTATAACCAAAATTAGTCGCCTTTTTTCTGCTCATATTAGTTGAAAGACTGTTACAAGCATTGTGCCAAGATGGGAACACAAAAAGTTAGATAATGATACAGATGGATAGGTAGATGAATGTTCCCACAAAGATGTGGAAGATTAGGTAAATGTAACTACAGTATAATAATCAACCATTCGCATATACATTAGAATTAAAATCATATAACTCTTCAGGCTAATGTATGAACGCTCTACTATACCGGAAGAATATTTGAAAAAAGTTAATGAATGGCAAACTCTCATTGTTATAATTCTTAATGAAGTTTAAAAAGCCCGCCACGTTAGCCCACTAGGCAATACACCTAGCGCGGCTACGCCTACGTGATGGCAGTTGGCGCGCCTACCTACAGTCTAGCACGCCACTAGGCGGTAATCCCTTAAAATTTTGGCATACCGTATATTTGGGAGTGTTAGGCGAGATGGTCATGCCTTTATGGATTCGCACCTTCAAGACATTGATCTGTGATTTCCACTCTATTGCAGCTCTCGCACGTCTCCGACCTCCTCCAAACTTCCAAGCTCTCAACACGCCCTTCTACTCTCTCCCAACACTTCAACAAATCCTTCAGGCTCACGACACTTAAGAAATCGTCTAGGTGTCATGCCAACGCCTAAACTTTCTAAAAGCATCGGCAACTTACTAATCAGTAATTGTAATTAAACTAAAAAAGGCAAAACGCCTGGTCCCGCGCCTAGACTTCGCCTAGGCTTACAGCATCGGGTTTACAACGCCTTAGCCCACCGGTTAGACACTTTTTGTAACCTGATTCTTAATTAATACAATCTACTCCATATAAACAAAGTTTTAGATCCATTATAGTATGCATTCTCAATGCATGTTCTCATGTTACATCGAAAGCAATAGCCCAACCACGACAGGCTTGAGCTGGTTTGGCTCCATGCACAATGGAGATGATTGCTAAATGCCTGCGCTACGGCAAGAGTGATAAGATTATAGGATTGGGAGGAAGAAGGACTAGAGCTCTAGGCTGATGATAAATTTCGTTAGATGCAATTAAGAATGAATTATGACAAGGTTAACTCAACAAAGTAGATATATGTTAACATAACTAACATTATAGAGTCATGTAGGCAGATCCCCAAAATTTGCGGAATGAAGTCTTTGTAGTATTGTTGTGTATAATATGCCGTTCCAAATTGCTGATGTACCCTTTTCTTGTGCACTACGGTATATGTGTTCAGCTATGTTCATCTGGTACTTCTACCATGAAGAGCGTATCCATATCGTAGACAGCACTCCCGCGACAGTAACTCCAACTTCTTGGCGCTCATACATATTGTACACGTATATTTAAAAAACTCGTAAATAGTTCATTAGACATTTAATACTTTACACTTAGACATCAATTTATAAACTTGTTGAACCAAGGGTCAGATTCGTGTTCAGTCCATATTCAGTTAAAATTACTGTTTTCAAAGGGTTTGTCCATATCTAGCTCTGGAACTATGATATTCAGAGCCTAATGGTCGTTTTTAGCCGTGTTCCCGCGTACCCATATCATTTTACAAATTTGTCTTTCCTCGTATTGAGATAACCCCATACATGTCTCGACCCATGCAACTTAGGGTGTGTCACACATGCGGTTCCTATATCCACAAGCCTCCAACGCGTTTATTAGCATAGGACAATCTGTAACTATGGTCAGCAAGCACAGCCCAAAGTACACTCTATAAAGGTTTGCCTTAGTCAGCTGTCAACCCTCGAGATAACATCAAAATTCTATTTCTTTGTTGATCTTAATTCTGCAATTGGGGGGAAAAAAAAATTTAAAACACGGTGGGCGAAATCATACACATCCATATCCACCATGAGAGGCAAAGTGCAGTTCCTCAAACACTTCCTCTCCAGTCCGGCGCCGGTCAGGTTTCTGACAAGTCGCAAAAATTATAAATAACCCAAAAAAAATTGATCGTTAATAATCACAAGAATGAAAAAGGGTTTAATAATGGGATTGAAAATTAGAAAGTCCAAACTAGACTTACGAGAGAATGAAGAGGCTGAGAGGGTTTTGAATGTTGCCGGATGGCGCACATGACCCAATCTGCGGCCATTAACATTTACAACAACTAATAGTTCCCCAGAAATCAAATAGAAAATTTGCCAAAATGGGTAGTAATAAAAACAAAAATTACCTGAGAGGCTTCCGTACTTTTCCTTGAGGTTGAGGTCGGCATACTCAGCTCCACAAGGCTGGGGCTTTTACTGCAGCGCCTGCGCTTGAGCTTTGGATATTGACGCCCATTTCTTGTAATTCTAGGTTAGGGTTAGGGTTAGGGATGAGATTTGGTTTTAGGTTAGCGGTCGCAAGAGTGAGCGCATAATTCAAACACCACCGGTCGGCAATATCCAAGCATCTCTCTCTCTCTCTGCACTGTGACTGCTCTGAGACCTGGGCGCATGGAATTTTGTTCTCTAACAGAGTTAGGTTGGGGCCGATATAATAAATGGCGGCCAAGTATATTTATCGCAACTAGATCAAAATTTCGCGGTTTGACGAGGGAGTTTCCCAGCGGATCCATTGGGCATGCGTATTAAATTAAATTTCTAAAAAAATTAGAATTCTGGAATGCCTTCTAACTTGAGACATTTGAGACGAAGTATTTTTAATATTGATAGTTTTATTTATTTATGTTCTTCCTTGGAAATGATAGGGGTGATCAAGTTGGTGCAAAGCCATTAAAACCAATCGAGAACGCGACGAATTTTGATAGTTCAGTATGGTTTTAGAAATATTTCGGTTGGTCTGTATTAAAATTATTAGTCAATGGTGTGTTTTTTTTGTGTGTTTTGCTAAAAAAAATACCATCGCCATGTGTTTTCTTTTCAATAGGTGCTTTTTGAAAACACCATTTGGTCAAACTAGTTTGACCAATTTATATAGCGACAGTGAGCACTGGTGCAGAACGCGTGACGCGCGGCTCGGTGGCGGGTGGCGGCCGACGGGCGGGCAGTTTGGATACGAGAACGAAAACCCTACACAAGATTGGTCGGCTACCGGGGGTAGCGCGAGTGGTTAGCCGGCAGGAGGACGGGCGGCGGCGTGCCGACGGTGGCCGAGCGGCGACGTAGGTGGCAGGGGTGGCCGCGTGGTCGGCCGACGGCCGGACGGCGGTGGTGCCGGTGGGCGCGGCCGACAGGCGGCGGCGCAGTGTGAGGTGGAGTGGCGCGCAGTCGGCCTGAGGGCGGCGGCGGCGGGCCGACTGGTGCCGGCGGCGCAGCAGTGGCCGGCGGGGTGAAAGTGTGGGCTGGCGGCCGGCTGACGGCGGAGGCGGCGGCGGGCCGGGAGCGGCGGGCGGTGGGCGGTGTGGCGACGGCGTGGGGCGCGGGCCGGACGACGGCGCCCCCGACGGTTGGGTCGCGGGGTGACGGCAGGGCCCGAGGGCGGGGTGTTCCGTGAGTGGCGTGCCGGCAGCTACGTGTGAGCGGGCTGCGGTGGCTTGATGAAAAAACGGAATACTTAAAACACATTTTTCGATGTTTTTGGAAAAAGTGTTTAAATTTTTAGATTTTGATAAAGGGACAAGTCAAAAAAATACCGTCGCCAATACGCGTTTCTTTGTTTTTGTTAAAAAATAACAGAACGACAAAAACGCCACGAGTTGCCAAACGCTCCGTTAATGGAACAAACCATTTTCAACATGTTTGCCTATAAATTTCATGCTTGTTCAAGGTGAATAGATAACTTGTGCTAATATTTTTAAATAATCTTGATTGATCAACACATTTGATTTTAGTTTATAAAATCATTAATTTGATGTGTTTTTTTTTTCTCAGGTTGGGATGAGTGAGTGAAAACGTCGAAACGGAGTAATAGGTTTTAGTTTTTTAGTGAAAAATTTCTATAACTTTACATTGTCTAAGGCCAAACGCGAACTAACCACGTGAGCTGAATGTCTGGTTCAATTCTGTTTTTGAATCTTAGCTTAGTTCGATTCGCGAGTTGACAAGAAAATGTCAAAATGAACCGAATCAATGGATTCGCGCGCCTAGAAATGAGTTATCAAAACTCGTCCACTGCCGAACAATTTTTGGAAACTCCAATATGTCTCCCATAGTATTGGACTCTCTCTGCTCTCTCTCTCTCTCGCTCTCTCTCTCTATATATATAATATATATTATAATATTATATATATATATATAGTATATATATATATATATATTATAAATAAAGTGGGGGAAGAAAGAAAGTGATATACTAGTTTATTTGTCATAGTTAACTAATTCTGAATAATCATTGGATGAAAAAAATATGTTAAACGAAAAATACATGCTATTAGCTAAAAACCCCAAATTGGATATCATACAACAAAAATTCAAATCAAAGAACTTGAGTTTTCAAACAAGAAAACATATTTCTTTGGATGTGTCTGCAGCACAATTGCTTTTCATGATGATGCAAACTGATATTATACTGGCAATCAATTGAAAAAAAAAAAGACAATATAGCGCTTAGGATAGGCAACCTCATGCACACTACATATAGCACCGATAATTCTTTCCACAGATTTTAAGCTAAAATCAAAATTCTCAAATACTAAAAAGTTGGGTTTCTCATCAAGAAATTTTGATTTTTTTTGACATTAGTTCTCCGTCAAACAGGCAAAAAATAATATCTGCACGCTTATTGTACATCAAACAGATCCAATCTGGACTCTGTGTGAAGCTTCAGAAGGCATTCATGTCCATCTTTTATTGGAAGAGTCTGAATCCCCATCATTATAACTCTAGATCTTCCTCATTGCCGCCACCGTGAAGATCTCGTAGGTGCATGCTGAAGCAAACAAGAAAAAAATAACTGTTACATGAGTAACTTACGCAAAATAATCTAGCAAAGCATGTGCATATATTATCGTTACGGGGATATAAGAAAAAGGCTAGTTATTCCCCGACAGAAACTTTAGATATTGAAGCATAGATATGTTCCCTTAATGAAAGATGATATCAACTCAAAAAATATCGCAACGCAAACAAAGGCATAACGGACATTTCCTAATAAAAGATGATATCAACTCAAAAATGTGCATCTTGCTCTTCAGAAAATGACATTGGAAGAGACGTGATCACTTTCAGATTAGGCTGTTAATAAATTTTGATGACAATCATTGAATAAGTTAACTTTACAAAAAAGAAGAACCAATTTTAATCTACTTCATACCGGCGACTACAAGAGCTGTGAGACCAGTTCCAATTTTTGATACTCTCTTCACAGTGTTCTTGTATGATTTAAACTTCTTCAATGCTGGGTCTTCTTCCAATAGCTGCACATATCCGTCAGAATAAAAGATGAGAAACTAAATAAATTGCAATACCACTTGACCTCAATAGTTTATTCTTTCTCGTAAAGATTACATTACGAGAAAGAAGAAACATATAGGAATTATTTACTCGATGAAGTTCCTCCAGGAATAGCTACATTGCAAAGGAAAACATTCTAACAATATATTCTACATAAGAGAGTCTTCACAGAGATTTTGAAAAGAAATGCATGAGTATAGGATTGAAAAAACTCAGATTTCAGCAAAATTCCTCTCCAAATTCAGTCGATCAAGAACTAAAATACCAAGAAAAAGGAAGAAGGTTGAATGAATTTAAAAATTTATGCCTTCAGAGTTCAGACATTATAGCAATCTCCAATATAAAATGCCTAATTCACAAGTACAACACTCAGAGAAATTACAAAGGCTAAACATTATCGCTTGGAAATATATGCAAGCCTGCAAACAAATCTAGGTCGCTCAAGTACAAAAGACAGTTAACATAATTTCTTTCTAAAAAGTCTACTTGGGCGGCTTAAATGCAAGTGATGTGATTCCGAGTCTTCCAGTAAGCATTCACAACACTGTCAAACTGTTCTGAAGTCCTATGGAGTATCCTTTGCAATAAAGCACCAAAACTACAAGTACCCGAGCCAGTAAAATAATCATATAGGAGAAATAACAGTCGTCTGAAGTAGGAGTACTCTACTGTTAGTGTATTTTCTCCTCATGCACACAGTTCATATTGTTCAGCTTATACGTACACAAAATTTACACAAACAAATTCTCAAATCCCCGCTTATATGAACACAAAATCTACACGAAAAAGAATACTCTACAACCCCGATCTCCTCCAAATCCATCAGAAGAGTCTGATCTTTTCATCCCACGGCTGAATCCTCACCACTGACTTCTTCTCCTATGAAGATCATTTGATCATCCTTTGATGATAAATCTGACCATGAAAGCTAAAAATTTGCTCCCACTGCCACTGCTTATGAAGTCACTAGATTAGACTCTGATATGCCACTGCAAGCCCATCGTGAGGCCTGAAACCCTAATCGAATTTGTTACAGTTGTTGTCAATCGTGGTTCAAGTCTTTGTTATTGGAAGAGGTTGGATGAACATCAAAGTGGAGAGAGATTTGCGTTAAGTACTGAGATTCTAAAGCTTGGGTTTCACCAACCACAAAGGTCATTAGTTTATTCTCCGTTTTGAAAGATGGAACAACTCCAATAATGGATCCAGAGTTTGTAAAGATAGCCTACATAATAGCTCATCTTTGTGCAACAACACTTTACTTACAACTTGCAAGGAGTCGGTGTTGGTGAGTTACTCATCGGGAGAGAGTTGTTTCTGGTGATTACAAGTATTTATATTAACTAGTTACTAGTCTTAATGATATAAATATAATTGTCTAGCTAACTCAGCATAAGAAATGATAAGAATAGGTTTTGTCAACCAAGAGAGTTTCATCTCTTCCTAATCATTTATCATTATGAATTTGTTTGACTAAGACCTCCTATAGTCGATCTCATCCATTTATCTTCAAACTAAATATATGAAATTCTAAAAAACATGTTCATAATACATTATTAAAACTCCTCACAAAATCAAAAACACTATACTTGGCTATTCCATGAAAATATAAATTCGAATTCAGTTGCTATTAACGAGTCAAACCCTCTTACTAAACCTAACCGCCTTAATATCAAAAACATGTGTTCAATTCTAAACCTTACCCCCTTCTCCTTTCCGTTCCATTAGAATACCTTTTGGAAAACCCCTTCTTCTCCTCCTCCCCTTGCCGCCTCATAAGAAAAACCTTTGAAAAATGAAAAATGTCAGCACCAATGCTTTCAAAGGCGTGCGCCTCACTGCCTCTTATTCGCCCTACGATGCAGGGCGATAGCGAAGCGCCCCACATGATGCATCAACGCCTTTTGCGCCTTGCAAGCATCTTGACTTTACGCAAGGTAAATAACCTCGTATATTTTGTTTGTCAACATTTCAATCGAGTCTTTATACTCGACACCAATATCCCTAAAAGTAAAATAAATCATTATGCCTTTTTAGTAGCCTCCAATTATCGACCCTCACTAATCCTCATTTACTACTTGATTTTGCTTGGATATTAGTCTTGATTTGACACTTGATTTGAAAAATTTTGAACTTTGTTGCTATGTTGAATGAGTTAGCATTAGAAATTAAGAACATATATTATGAGTTGGTAGTAAGATTATTTATCCTGCCGTACTTTTTTTATGTAAATTCCTAACATGTTCTTTCGTAACTATCTATCTTGAAAATTTATATATGTAGTGTGCACCATGCATCACTCGAGTGCGCGCATCGCATTGCACCTTGCGCATGTACATGTATAGATACTTTGCGCCTCGCACATTGACAACGCTAGTCGGCACCATCCATAGAACTCTCCTCCAGTATGTCAGCTCCATGTAATTGATGGAGACTACCCAACACGATTGGTCCTAGCTCCCCGCTCCCTTGAGAACTGCTTAGAAAGATCATCAGAAAGCTACACAAACTTTGTTGCACCTGATTCTTCATCATTTTCCTATCTTGGTGAGCCATTTAGAGATCGGAGGAGGCCCACTCTCACTCCCACTGAAATCATAATCGATAGCTCCTTTCTCTCAGAGACGACAGAGAAATTAAATTGGTTTCAACAATATTCTTCAGCTTGTAGGAGGTCAAGCCTACATCCTCAATCTCTGCCAAACCAGTCGGAGGGTGTAAGACTCATTCTCCTGAAAGCTGAAGAATGTTTTTAGAACCAATTCATCTTCTCCATTGTCATCTTAGGGAGAAAGAAGCTATGGTCCACGATTTTAGTGAATCCAGGCAGGATCATATCTCAGAGCTGCTCCATAAGATAGGCAGGCGGCAGAGTCAAGCGTGACTGGAGATATAGCCTAGTTTTTATTCAATACTGGCATACTGCTAAGAAGTTATCAATCAAGACAAAACTAACCGTGTTGGGGAGTCTTCATCAAATTATAGGGAGCTGAAATGTCGGAGTATATAAAGTCTCGAGATAAACCTACTATTTTTCTAAATTTATGATGGAGGCAAAGGGGAAGAAAGTGGAAAGGAAGAATGTGGTTCGAAATTGAACATGGTGTATGGTGATATAAAGACAGTTAGGATTCTGTAAGATGGTTTGAGCTGTTAACAACGAAATTCAAGATTTAATGACATGGGGCTCATCGACTATAGACTATAGTGTTTCTTTTTCTCATTTTGTAAAGGGTTTTAGTTATGTATAATTGTGTTCTTCGCTTTTTCTAGAATTTCATTTTTTTAGTTTGGAGGTAAATAGATGAGAATGACTCAGAAGGCATAGTCAAACAAATTCGCAACAAATGATAATGATTAAATAGTGATGGACCCCTCTTTATTGCCAAAAGCCCATTATAAAGCTTAGTTTACCTAGTATTGTCATTTCTTGTTGCTACTGCATCGAATTAGCAGGTCCAGACAATCATGCTCATATTAATAAGACTATTTTAGATGAGCATTTGTAACCGCAGTAAACAAATTCTCTCTCAAGTGGTGACTAACCAAGACCAATAATTACGTCGACCACATTTTCAGACTTCAGGATCAATAATCGAAGTCGCATAATCTTCAACACTGAGAATAAAGTAATTATTACATTAGGTGAAGATCCTAGCATCATAATCTTCATTTCTAATGCCATTTTCTCTCCAATCGGCTGTTTCCCCTACCCTCCTCTCATAACAAAGTATTGACCCGTGATTGGTGGCAGTCATAAGAAATTCGATCAAGGTTTCAGGCCTCGCAAAGAGCTCACATCCCTCGATTGCAATTTTGATCAAGCTCGTAGACTCGTAGTAATTTTATGGGAGCTTAAATGACATAACGCACAAAAAAATGCCTAAAAAATAATTTATATCCACTAGAAGACATGTTGGCCTCTCTCTCTCTCTAGCTCAATGCACAGACCCAACTATGTTTCGTGCAGCCGGAGATGACCAATTCTTAATAAAGATAAAAGATATAAATGAAATCTCACCGCCTTCTCGCGAGCGCCGAGATCGATATGGTACCCGCGACGCGGCACAAGAACCTCGGCCTGCAAGAAAACAGCAGCAAAATGAGAGAGGAGCGGGAGATCAATTAGAAATTACGCTTAAAAAAAACTGATGTAAATGGAGAATTGAGAAATTGAAATTGACCTTCGAAGAGGATCGAATTCTAGAGAAAAGATCGGATCTTGAGAGCGCCATGGCCACCGTTTTAATCTCGATTTGCCGAAAGGGGGATGGTTGAGAGGGATCCAGGGAAAAGGGATGAAGAACGAGAGAGAGAGAGGGGGCGAACGGTGAAAATAATAAAAAGATGGGTTTTAGCTATATACCCCCCGAAGTTACGTAATTTGCAGTTTTTTCCCCATATCCGAGCGTTTGATAACGGCGAATAGATCCTCTTTAGAATTGCCCAATTGTGAATAGACCCCTGTAGTGTCAGCCTAAGTATGAAGACGGCCCCTTACTGAACTTTTTTCGGCATTTTTTGGTTGTAGTATTGGAACCCAACACTTAATATCCTAATTAATCTGAGTACACAAATTTTATTTGTAGTTACCGTATCCAATTTTGTATGCAAACCCCATGAAGTTGAGGCTAGCTGCATATTATTAAAAAAATATTAAAAAAAAACTTGGTAAGACCCTGAATTTATTAGTCAAACTATATGTCTGACTTTCAAATAGGTAGGCATATCTATATCTATACCACATATAAAAGAGGATTGTCTTGTCAAAATTTTTGATTTCCATTTTTTGTCCTTCAAAATCTGATAATTCTCAAATATGTTATTAGTTATAATTAATTATTCACTAATTATATATAACATCTTATTAATTATACATTTCCTCACTTTTCAAAACCTTTGGTCACGCTATTAGTTTATTATTGAATTATATTATTTAATAGAATATTTAAAATTTATCCCTAATTTAACTTCACATAATATTTAAAATTCTAGAAAAATTAAAAATAATTAAAATTCATTAGGCTTATGTCTTATGCCTTTGGGTTTCACATCTTCTAGAGGACCACATGTTACCTTTCATCTTATTAGCCTTTTAAAAGTATGATGATAGTATGAAAAATAATTTGTATTTATTGTAATTACAATAGTATTAATAGTATAATAATTTTAATAGTATTTTTTAAATTAATAAATTATATTGTAATTTAATAATTATACAATTTAGTAAATTATTTACTAATAGTGTAATAAGCTAATTATGAAATTTAAATATAGTTACTAATAGTATTATAATTATGATATGTATAATATTGTTATATTTAAAAGAGAATACATTATTTAATACATTATAGTTAAATTAGGAATAAAGTATAACAATTACCCAAACTATAATAATTAATCGTACATTTATTTATACACAATTTTATCGTATATTTTTTTATTTTTAAAATTATAATAGTTCAGAATATATATTGCTATACAAGTCATTTTAGTATTTTTCAGCAAACAAAAAAAAATTTAAAAATATAAAACAATATAGGTATGCTCTCGTACAAAGCACGTGCGCTACACTAGTGTGTGTATGTGTGTGTATATATATATATATTCTCAATAGGAGGACAAAACATATAATCTAGATAGCATCACTCAAAGAAATATCTCTCTTAACATCGTTGGTGAGTTTTTCTTCTAACAAAGTTACTAAATCTATACTAGTTATAAAAGAGAATACCCATGTCAAATTCTTTTTTGCCCTTTCAAAATTTGATAATCTGCAATTATACCGTTACTTATAATCAATCTTTTAATTGTCCTTAACATCTTATTAATTACGAACTTCCTCACTTTCCCACATATTTAGGTGTTCATCAATGAAATATAATATTGTCAAAATCCCGACTTAGCCGACTCGTCGAGTCGACATCTCCTTAGGTCGACTCGAAGGGCGGTACTTGTCGGTCCTCTTATCGAAAATGACTCGTTACGAGTCCACTCGACCAGTTATTCGACGCCTCGCGGGGTCGACTTGAAAGGTGTTGCTTCTCGACACCCCTCGCTACAAGCCAAAAGACGACTTCAACCTTGAACTCCCCCCGCTGACAACGCTTCGACGTCACATTAAATGCTTGGCAGACGCCATCATTTCTCCACCCCGGACACTATTTATGACACATCGAACCACGCCGGCTTCGGGCGTCGCCCATCTTATCTTATTAATGACGAAATGACATCACCCATCCCGTGACCAATCCACTATCGACAACTGTAAAGTAGACATTGATTCAGCAGCCAGCTCATGCTCGGCCAAAAAGACTAGACTACCCCTCTTGCATGGCTATAAAAAGAAAAACTATTCCGAATATAAGGGTAAGCAATTTTCTCATCATTTTTCTCCATTCTGCTGCATTTTCTCATATTCCCACTCAAGCACCTAGCTAACTTAATCGTCGGAGGAACAACAGGGGAACCAATCCCCATCCTCTTATGAGTCGTTACGCGTGCAGAGACTAACAACCCAACTCTAAATCGGATATTCGAAAAAGTGAGCGGCCCCTATATCAACCAACTTCCTATTACCTTCTCTTTTAACTGTGTGATTTAAACCATCAAAACACACACACACACACACACATACACACACACACACACACACACATACATATATATATATATAGAGGATTATAGTTTAATACTCTAACATTATTCTCGCACCCAGAGGTATCTGTATATTTAAATACAATGTTGCAAATTACTATAATCTTACAATTAAGTGGTACATATTCCGTTTGTTGGACATATACTTTTAAGGACTTTAGAGAACTTGTAAATGAGATGTCAGAAGCTGTTATAGATTCTTGCAACACTTTTTTGACGAACAATTCCTTGAAGCACAGTCTAGGCTTACAAGATATATGGGAGCTAAATCACGAATAAATGCTTCCTGCAAAGCACGGTGCCTTTTAGATAACAATAGGATTTTTAATTTTCAAAAAGGAAAGATAGGGTGTACAAGAGAATAAGCGTGAAGTTATAACAACAGGATTTCTAAATTTCAAAAAGGAAAGAGCATCTATTTGGCAGCACTTCAAAACTTATTGTCAACCTTTTACTTGGCCTAGCTCTCTTGAGGATTTTATGATATCGATATCTAGCCTAAAGCAACGAGAAGGAATTCTATGGAGATGTCTTTTTTCAATTGTCTGTTGGTGTATCTGGTCTTCAAGAAACAAATTTGTTTTTGAACAGGTTTCCTTCTCTGTTCAACATATCATCAACTCATCCATCCATATTTTACATGAATGGTCAGGTGCAGGTAGACGGAAGGATGATTTGCAATTGGCAAAGGTTTTAGAAGAAAGGCCTATACCTCGGCTTTTTGATTAAGGTTACAACTCAGGTGGTGACAAGGACGTTTACAGAAGATCTGTGATTTTTGAAGCCAAGGATTTCTCTTCATTTTCAGTACTTTTGTAATATCTCATGATGTAGTTTTTTCAAATAGCTTTTGGTTTTATGTTTTATGTCTAATTAGTTTATAGAAAATTTAATTTCTCTTGTTCATATGTATGTCCGGCTTTGGTTCTTACATATATCTATGTCAACGGTGAATGACGGCAAGGCCCTCTCTTCATCTTCATGGATGTCTATAAGAAGAAGGTCATACATCCCTAACAAAAGAAATCATCTTTTCTATCTACTAATTTTCTTGGATACAATTCGTATCCTTCTTTTGTAAACATACTTTCGTTTTTAATGAACAGGGTATAACCCTTGTTTTTCAGTCAAAAAAAAAAGTTTGAAGTTATGTATAAGGGTTTTAAGTGCTATTTAGCCTTCAAATATAGCTAGATTTCTTTAGGCTCCTCTTAAGTGGGCTTTAACGAAAATGGCCCATTTTTATTGTGACCTAGCCCAGAGCTCTCTTAAATCATACCTAACGGGCCGTCCCCAATAAAACCCTGCCGTTCGGATATTCTCTGAATTTCTACAAACTTTAATTTAAAATGAGGAAATAAAAATTTCTGAAACATAATTCTCTATGCATTTAATATTCATAACCTAAATAGACAGAAAATTGTCTTTATTTTTTTAATACCTTCACGTACTACATTACTCAGTTTTCTGTAACCTTTTGCGGTATAATACGTCAAAATATGCACGCTATTTTTGTTTATTTGAAGACAATGCGTATTAATTTCAAAGTTACATCATAAAGTAGTCATTGGGGGTTAAATGAAAAATACAAAATTTTTTGCGGGTTTTTTTGAAATATGCAAAGTTATCGGGGTCTTAGTGAGAGATTCAAAGCTCTTGAGGGTTAAGTGCAATTTAAAAGTTTGTCAACGTTTGGAAGATTGATATCATGATATATTCGGAACATAGATATAAATAGAGGTCATAATAAACTTCTCTTTTATCTATATCTAACTACACTACTATAAAAAGAGAATTGCTATGTTAAAACTTTTGATATCTTTTTATACCCTCTCAATTTCAATAATTCACAAATCATACCCCCTTTAAAAGAGGGAGTTGTGGAAAAACTTTTTATGGACTATATTGCCCCTATTCTTTTTTTGTTATTATATTCTAATCATAAATTAACTAAATTAATTATCATTATTAATTAATCATATTACATGTCACTTCAATTTTGTCTAACTTGGCTCTAAAACTTCCAATGTTATCGCAAAACTCTCATATTAATTATTAATAATGCATAATACTATATTGATAGACAATTGCAAGTTAATAAATTATTTTGGAATGAGTACAAAATATAGAATTGTCCTAAAATTATATCGTGACACTCACATAGGAAAATTATAAAGAGTATTCTTACGTACATAAGTACAAACATCCAATTTTAGAAAATATTAGAAGATCTAAGTGCACTAAGATATAAGTGGAGGTATATGCGTGTAACTTTCGTAAGTTGTAAGCTATTTATGTTTAATTAAGACTATAAAGATTTGAAGCCTTTGTTAAACACAAACAATAGTATGTGATTCTTTTGATAAATAATATACATCGTATAATATGAGGCCAGAGGTTTAGCTTATATTTATATAGTACAAAAGATGTGAAAAATTTTAAGCATCATATTTTGAATAAGTTTCAAGATTTTGAATTATAAATGAAATTATATAATTCACTTAGAATCATATCATATTATACTCCCTTTAAAAGAGGAAGTTGTAGAAAAAACTTTCTATGGACTATATTACCCCTATTTTTTAAATAACTTTCTATGGACTATATTACCCCTATTTTTTAAATATTATATTTTAATCCTAACTAAACTAAATTAATCATTATTGTTAA